CCCGGAGTCCTGCCGCCTCCATGTCCAGCTGCCCAGCTTTCTCCCGGAGCCTCTCCGCCTCCTGGCGATGCCGCTGCAGCTCCTGTGAGCAGGTCTCCAGCTCCAGCTCCCGGGCACGGGCCGCTTCCTGCAAGCCCCTTGCGCGGCCCTCACTGACCCGCAGGGCAGCCCGGGCCTCCCGCAGGGCCACGCGCAGAGACACCAGCTCGCTGCCCTTCTGGACCAGCTCTGCCTGGGACTCCTTCAGCTGCTGCTTCAGCAGGGAGATCTCACCTGACTTCTGGCACACCTGGAGGTGGGAAGGGTCAGGAGGGATGGGGAAGGGCTCACTGTCCGCTTCCTGCAAGCCCCTTGCGCGGCCCTCACTGACCCGCAGGGCAGCCCGGGCCTCCCGCAGGGCCACCCGCAGAGACACCAGCTCGCTGCCCTTCTGGACCAGCTCTGCCTGGGACTCCTTCAGCTGCTGCTTCAGCAGGGAGATCTCACCTGACTTCTGGCACACCTGGAGGTGGGAAGGGTCAGGAGGGATGGTGAGAAGGGCTCACTGGGGCCAGAACCTGGCTAGCACCCTGGACACTGGGGAGTCATCTGTCACTTCGTCGAGCCTACGACATGCCTAAGGTCAGACAGCCAGTAAGTGGCCAAAGGGGACGCAGACCTAGAATTTTCTCCTCAAAGCCGTCTGAAGATGCTGTGGAAGGATGGCCGTGCCCAGGGACTGGGTGGGGCAGGTACCATGGCGGTGACAGCAATAGAAGGCAGTGCCCAGTGTCCGGGTGAGAGGCCCACAACACCAGAGCCAGACCACGTGGCTTCAGGTGTGAGTTCTGCCACTGCTAAGAGAGGCCGCTTTCTGGGCCTCAGTTTCCCCCTCCATGAAATGGGCACATTAACACTACCCACTCCACTCCACAGGGAAGGCAGTGGATGGCAGGGCCACTGGCGACACGGGCATCACAGCAGCCCAGTGAGGAGACCTCACACACAGAGGGAGCATGGAGGACCCCATGTCATACAGGCCGGGACCTCAGGGGTGGCTGGGCCCACCCTAGGTCTACCCCACTACAACCCTCCTCCCTGCCCGCCTGGCCAGCCGGCGCACCTCCCACTTGGTCTCCTCCAGCCGGGGCCCAAGCTCCCGCTGCTCCCGCTCGAAGGCGGCGCACCGCCTCTCCAGCTGCTCCCGCTCCTGCAGCAGCTGTGCAAAGTCGTCCTGCAGCTGGCGCTTCTCCTGCTGCAGCTGGAGTACCTGCAGCTGCAGCAGCTGCTGAGTCCTCCAGGCCCGCTGTGCCTGGGCCACGCAGTCCTCCCTTGGGACCTCACGCTCTCTCCGCCAGGGCCGCGACCGCTCCCCGAATGCCTGCGGGTGAGAGCCACCAGGTCCTGCGCGGCCCCCCAGCTGCGGAGCCCAGCCGCCACCCCCAGGTGCTCCGGG